GCGACACGGCACGGCCTGTCCACTGCGTCGGTTTCCTCATTTGCCAGACCAGGCGGCACAGCCGTCAAATGTCTTCACTGACACGCGCGTTCTTGTCTCTGCAGATGTACGCCCGGGACTGGCGGCATGACTCTGCCTGTGTCCAGCTATGAGGAGCTCCTGGCTCGAGTGAGGAGCCTCACGCACGAGACCATCCAGCTGCAGAGGGAGCTGACGACACCGCTGGTCGACCACAACGAGAATGGTGAGAAAGTTAAGCCACAGCGGGTGTCGGTGTTGGTATCTTCGTTGTCTTGTGTTTTAATATGAGCTTTTGTCTCATGTCGCCCGGAGACCGGCCACACTGACAGGCTTTTCGCGATTAACCTCAGTCCTTCCAGCCGCATGTAACTCGGTTTTGCTTACGTCGTTCGTGTGGCAAATGGACCTCCCTGTGAACATGTGCGCGGAGGTCAGGTGGGACGCTGTAGGGTCAGAGCGTCTTCTGGGCTGTAGCGCCGTGTAGTCTGCTGCCTCAGTCATCGCCCTGATGATGGAGGCAGCAGACTCCTTTCCTCACGCACTGACCGCAGCGAGGTCTCCTATAATGTAATGAGAGGATGTGCGTCTATTTTAAATGGCGGTCTTTTAGTCGTCGGCTGAACTTCGTCGAAGGCCGGAGATGACGTGCTCATGCGCAAGAACCAGAACACGGGCATCTGTCACGTGTCTGTGGTTTTCTGTCTTTGCTATTAGTTTAATACTGGTTGTAGTGTTATGACGTTTTCAAGTCAGAACAAGCACGTAATGCAGTCCCTGATTTCAAGTATTTCGCCGAAGGTTTTGGTAAGAGGTAAGAGAACTGCCCTTCCTGCGTCTTCATAGCGCAAGTGACAGGATCACGACTTACGCGTTCCGGTTGTCGGGTGTCTGACGTGATTTCGTTCGCTGTCACCCAGCTAACTGGAGCGGAATATTTGGAACCGATTTTGTTCCGGGTCGGCAAAGTGCTTCAGACATGAACTGCTGGTGTCGGTGCCTCCAGTTGGCCAGTGCTCCGGGAGCCCGCGTCGCAGTCAGCGTGTCTGAAACCGAACTCCCGGCGATGTTTCGTCGCGTGCCCGACCACGTGGAAAGGAAACACGTGTTCGTTTCTGAGTTCCGTTGGGATGCAGAGGGTGGAGAGGTTTTCGCGGGAGTTCTGCCCTGGCTCCTTGGAACCTTATCTGCCACACCCGCTCTCATTTTGTGCCCGTCCTCGTCAAACGAAAACTTGTTACTGTTTGCAGAGCGGCCGTTGACAGCATCCTCGTGCTGTGACGTCACTTCGTGTGACAACAACAGGAGCGGCGTGTCTTCTGGCGGCACACCACGCCGTCAGCATCGGGCTGGACCGGCGTCCGGCGCCGCCACCGCCCAAAGGAGGTGAGCCGATCTAACGAATGATTCAAGTCAAGAGAGAGCGAGAATTTCGTGACGCGATTGATTTTGCGGTGAGAACTTTTTCGCCCCGCCCAGTCTCCCGGACTACCCCTTGTTGGCTTTCCGCTGCCGCGTACTGAATTTTTTTTAAATTCCCCTCGATATCTGGACTCAGTCTCCTGGACCGCGCAGAGAGCGTTTGGTCGGACCGACACTTGGAGGAATGAGGGTCGGAGGGTGTGGACTCGTGTTCCATGAAAGGCGGGGAACTCCTTGGCCGGCTGAGCGACTGTTAGCTGTCCCAGAAGGACTTTGTTAGGGAAGGTGCGGGTGGATGGAGATGGTGGTGCAGTGTTGCGGGGCGGCATTCTCGTCCCCTAGGCCGGTAGCGCTCCGCTCCGTGACGGAGAATGGAGTGCTGTCGGGTGGGGAGAGGCTGACGATTTCGCTTACGACCCTCGCATGATTTTCTTTTGTGACCTAACGAGCAGTGTTAGTCCGGTTATCTTTTGTGGACGAACTAGGAAAAGGACCGTTCGGATTCGATCTGCGGACCGCACATGACAAAGCACGTGACTGTCGTAATTCAGGTTTCAGCTTGTCCTGGTCTTTTGGCTGGGGCTGACAAACCAAGGAAATGATGAAAAAATTTGATACGGCAGTCTTGTGGAAATCCTTTCTTCAGCTGCGTTGTCGCATTGCACAGCTTCCGTTTACGTCTTGATTTTCGCTTTCTGAACGCGGCTTCCGAGGTTTGTCTGTGCTCAGCGGCGTAAATTTGTTTCGTGGTTTGCGTCTGTTTTTGTACGTTCAAACTTTTCACCGACGCGGGCTTAACGCAAAGTTGTCAGAGCCGGAGACTTGGTCCTTGGCGTTCTCTTGATGTCTGACGTCTCGTCCACAGGTCTGCGTCCGCCGCGGCGGCTGGCACCGCCCGTGCGTCGGGACGGAGCGGGAGCAGCGTCCAGAAGGATCCTGCAGATGCGGTAAGAATTGCTTTGACGTTCCGGTTGCATGTGCCCTGTGCTGGGTGGTGTCGAAGTACGGGGGTGGTGTCCTCTGAAGGGTCGAAGCGGGATTCGAGTTCAGGATTCTCCAGCTTTTTTGTCATGTGACTGAGCGAAGCTGCTGTTCTCCCTAAAGCAGACTCGTTCTCGCACGGAGAATCAAAAAGAGACGCTGGATTAGAAATGCTGGGTTGGATTTGAAGTGAGTATGAAGACGGCTGTCTTGCGTGTCCATTATCATCGCCCTGATGATGGAGGAAGCAGGGACCTCCGTTGGTGAACATCGACCAGACTACGTGGCGCGACAACCCAGAAGACAGGAATCTTGAGTATTTTGGTTGTTTGCCGTTTTGCCTTTCAGCTGTGGGGCGGAGTCCTTCAGCCGCTCGTGAAAGTGCACGTTCTTGTGTCGCGGAACCCAAGCATCGGCAAACAGAGTCCGTGAAGGCGGACGCCGCCATATTTGGCGCCCGATGAAGTGGTTGGCAACCCCTTGCTGGAGGATTATGGGGCGCCTCTGGTGGTATTGATTAGCGCACCCTCAGTTGCATCCAGTGACACGTCGATCGTAACGCACGCCGTCACTTTTGTGTTCCGCGCGATTCGACCTATAAGACCTCGGAAAACGAAAGTGTTTCGGGCGAATTGAGCTTTTACGCCGAAGGGCTCCTGAACCACCGAACACAGTCGTTGCTTGGGACACCAGCTGAAACTCTGAGTAATGCTTTCCACGAAACAGTCTGTGCAGTTGATTTGGTGATGCATTTTGTACAAAAGTGAAGTCGCGCGGCCATAGTATCACGCCCGTGTCCTCGTTTTTGTCAAAACACGCGAATGGAAAGCTTTTTCCAAAAGCCGTTCAGTTCAGAAGTCTTGAAGCCGAGAGCAAAGGACACTCTTGTACCGCCATTAATCTGACTCCGTAAGGACGCCTTCACAAACGAAAGTTGATTTTTGAACGCGCGTTCTTATAATTTCACAAAAGAACGCGAAATTTAAGTGGACTCAGAATTAATTTATTCTCCTTATGCCCTTGAATGTGATGTCGTATCCGTTCGAGAAGTTACCTCACGCGTATTCTGTGGCACGGCGAGGAAGGCCGGTCTCGTGGTCCTCGAAATCCTTCCTTCACGTCTACGTAAACATGAACGCACTTTGGCGGTGCAGTCTTTGAACCCAGCACGCGTAATTCTTTCGATGTTGCTCCGACACCTTTTGTTGGTGCGTTTCGAACAAAATCTTGCGAGCATCTCTTCGTTCTCTGACTTCTGTCAAGTTCGCTTAACATCGGGGCCGATTCTGGGTGGAACCTCGGTGTATTTGTTAGAGCGTGTTGATACTGTGGTCCTGTTTTGCTGGCATGCAGACGTTTCGGACCAACTTGCATTATGTCTCCGAAGTGCCCTCATCTTGTGGCAGAATTATCAGGTTTCTAAAATACGATTACATTTTATTTTCGGAGAGGAATCTGACACGAAGTGTCGCGGTTGGATGTTGGATTAGGCCACGCCGTCCTCTTGTCTGCTGACTTTGAAGGCGTCTCCCCGCTCGCCCGGAACTTATTTACCCGCTGTGTTCACGAACTTCTAGGGCGAAGATGCACCAGGAAGCAATGAAAATATTAAATGCGGAAACAAATGTTGGTTCCGAACTTGGCCGCATGGTTTTGCTCCGTCTGTGGCGTTGGTGTCGTTTCTCGCCCTCAGTTCAGAGCGAGACGCGGGTGGCAGAAGTGAACTTCTACGCTCTGAGGGTGGGCCGATGTCGCAGTGCACATTTCTGTAGCTCCTGTGTGCTGCAAACGCGCCTTCGGGCCCCGGTGTGCGTTTCTGGTGTGTGTGTGTTCATGCATGCAGGGTTTTCCCGTGTGCTCTGTGCTCTCTTATCTGCCGGCGACGTATTGATTCGCCGTCAGCTGCGGCGTTCTTGAGGGCGCAGTCGAAATGAAAACCGAATGGACGTGTGGGAGTGGAGATCCGGTACGAAAGTTGTGCTAAGAAGTCGTAATAGTCGCTGAAATTGTGTTCAAGTGTTGAAGTAAAATTGCTGCAAACTATTCTTAACCGACCGTAGGTCTGTCGCGTTGGATGATTCATAAATGGCGAATCCTAAAGAATATGGGACGAAGCCGTCGTGGCCCAGGATTTCTCGGGAAGACCTGACCGAATCGACGAACAACCCTTCGGGACAGCCAGCCATTCTTCAGCTCGAGGTTTGAACCGTGGTCCTCCTAGTACGAGCCAGCGGCGTTCGTTGTAGGCTGTAAAGAACTTCTCTTGTCACGAGAAGGCGTCGTAGGTGTTAGTAATGCGAGAATTTCCGAGAAAAGAGAATAAGTTACCACCGTCGCTTGTGGGTAGGCAAGAGGCCTCTGCGTTGT